TACTTTGTTAAAACAACATTTAAGTATATTTTAAATCATATTGCTAACTGTCTTTTCAAGTAATAGTACTCTTAAACAAAGAAGGAAAGGGACTTATACAGAAATATTTGTGGCAGGCACAAATATTTTGTGGTGGCAAAGAATTGGAAACTGAAGGGATGCTTATTAATTGGGGAATGGCTGAACAAGTTGCAGTATTCAATTGTGATGGAATACTATTGTGCTGTAAGAAATGATGAGCAGAATGCTTTCAGAAAACCTGGAAGACGTGAACTGATTCAGAGTTGAGTGAACAGAACCAGGAGAACATTGTACATAGTAACAGCAATATTGTACAATGATCAATTGTGAATGACTTAACTATTCACAGCAATACAATGATATAAGACAATTCCAAGGGACTTTTAATAAAAAAAATGCTATCCATCTCCAGAGAAAGAACTAATGGAGTCTGGATGCAGAGTGAAGCATACTTTTGTAAACTTTCTTATTTTTCTTGGAGTTAGGGTTGGGGTTGTTTTTCTGTTTTTGTTTTTTTTTTTTTTTTGGTTTGTGTTTTCTTTCAAAACATGACTGATAATGAAAATATTTTTTGCATGACTGCACTTGTATAAACTATATTAAATTGCTTACGGTCTCAGGAAGGGGAGAGAGTAGAAAGGGGGAGAATTTGGAACTCAAAATGAAAAAAAATAAATGTTAAAAATTGTTTTTGTAATTGGGGAAAATATAATATTAAAATATAAAATAAAAACATAAGAGCAACAGTATTCTTAATTCCATTTCTAAAACTATAAGCTTATGCTACATTAAGAAAAACCACTGTTCAAAAGTCAAAATTTACAAATCAGAGGCATTCATTGTGATTGTTTTGTAAAAGCACTAGAAACAGAGTTCTGTTAAATTGTAAGCTTACTTATCAATGTATTTAAATTATTTGTGTACAGTGTTTTCTGACTGACTGATTTGCCATGCAGCTTTTTATAAATATATCCCTTGCATAAAATACAGTAGATCAATATTTGCTTTTGGGGGGTAGGATATTGGGGATCCATAGTTTGAGAAGTGAAAAGCTAATTATATGTATATATATATATTATATGTATATAGACACATGTAGTTATACATGTTTTATATTATATATAATATATATGTATGTGCTTATCCTTAACAATAATGAAGTTATATAGACAAAAATAGTTAGCTTGTTATAAATCTCATATAAAAAAGTAAAGATACTTGTCAGATTATATATCTAAGCCACAAAAGTACATATTGCTCATGTAGATATTATCTATGTAAAAAGATAGATTTTTGGAGATTCTCTGTCATTTATTCAGTTTTTCCTACTTTTCTATTTATTTTTAAATTTTACTTTGAGAGCTCTGATTTGGGTCCTAAATTGAGTCACAATTTCTTCTTTTAATAGTTTTATTTCTTTTAAAAACTATTCTGGAGTTTCATGCTGTTTTCTCATCTTTGGAAACTTCATGGTATTCTTTTGTTCATCCAGCAATACTAGTTCATTTTCCTTCGTATTATAGTATTTGTTCAAAATGCTCTAGTTTCTTTTTGAAATTTTACTTAATCTTTTTTTTGTCTTTCTGATCCTTTTTGTTGTATAGTCCTTGTGTATATTATTTTCCTTGCCCTGCTTGCTTCATTTTGCAGCAGTTCATGTAAGCATTTCCATGCTTCTGGATACTCTTGATATCTCTCAGTCTTCCTGCTAAGTGGACACCCTAGGGCTACTGAAGACCCCCCCCACCTTCCACCTTCCTACTCCTCCCCATAGATTAGCTTTAATGGCTCCGGGGCTTCCCTGGACTTGAGAGGCAACTAAGTGGCATGGTGGGTAAAAGCAGTGGACTTGAGTCAGGAACACCTGAGTTTGAATCCTACTTCAGACACAAACTGTGTGACTTTGGGCAAGTCCCTTTAATTGTTCTTAGCCTGCGTTTTTTCATCTGTAAAATGAGGACAATAGCACCCTCTTCATAGGGTTGTTGTGAAGATAGCCCATATGGGCTTTACAAACTTTAAAGAAAGTGTTATACAAATGTTAGCTATTACATGTGTTAGTAGGTAAATAGGAATTATGAAGGACAAAGTTATCTTTAGACCAGAGGATCTGGGCATAGACAGAATGTGCATAATTACGTCAGCTTTATTATAAAGAATAGGTACTTTTCATACTCTACCTGACTTATAGACGCTCTCAAAATATCATAAATGATTCACGCCATTGGCCTTCTAGGGATTTCTGGTTTAGACCTAGTCATAGAATTCCCATTTCTTTTGAATAAGCTGTTTTAAGTCAAGTATTAAGGAAAAGGCCACAGCAACCATTTACAAGGTCTTTCAAAGACTTATCTTCAGAAATAAAAGCTGTTGGCTTCATTTCCTCCTTGTCACCTACTCCATCCTCTTCTGTGTAAATTGTAATAAAAAAGTGGTAGAGCATAATCTTCACTTTGAGAACACTGAAACCTTGGTTTGTGGCTCTTCACCTTTACATAGCGTTACAATAAGTAAAAGGGTGTTTGGGGATGGTGGGAAGTAATTAAACGTATCTGGTATGTAGAACACATTTAGTGAAGTGTTTTTATGTTGTTTCTCTGTTTATTATCCTCCAGGAAATAAAGTTTCCTGTGGACAACTAGCCAGACCAGTTCCTGACTTGGGAAACGTCATCTCAAAGGAGCACTTCTCCCCTGCCTTCCCAAGAAGTGAAGTCTATGAGAAGCCGATACTGCTAGAGAGTGCTTTGTAATGACCAGAAGAGTTCCAGCAGTGCTTGTGCCTTCTCTCCTGCATCTGACTAAATGAAGGCACTTTCTCTATTCCCAGAACTGCTTTCTTGAAGGACCTTGTCTCTTTGGTGTTAGAATATTCATGAAATCTTCCCCTCACCCAGTTCAGGACGCTTGAGTATCTTGAAAACCTCAAAAAATGGAAGCCTTAGAAGTGGATGATATCAGCCCTGCCTTGGAAGTGACAGAGGATTTCTTCAGTTGTTTTGATAGTAAGTTAGAAAAGGTGGTCCAGCAAGCTGAGGTTTATGGCATTCAGGAAGTTCCTGAACTGGTTGGGCATGAAGTATACAATAAAATAGCAGACAGTAGTGCCATCAGGAGTGGCACCTCCCTGGGCAAAGGCAGCAGCATCATTTGGGATAGCTGTCAAAGTGGCCTCTTAGAAACCAAAGTACAAAATGTATTCCCTGCCAAAGAACAACTTATAGTCCAGAGAGGGACAGCTCCTGATAACCTCTCCTGGATGGAACAAAGGGAAGCTTCAACTTTTAATTTTTTCAACATCTGTCAACGTCGGCGGGACAGGCCTCGATCTGTGAATGACTTACTGGATGAGACCTCTTCTTTCAAGCCAGGCCATGTCCGATCTCGGTCAGATACTACTCATGTGGAGTGGGGAGTAGTCTTCAAATCAACTCCTTTGCACCAGCCATCTGTTCAAGGCACTCAACCTGCAAAGTCGCCTTTCTTATCATCATCCCACCACAAAGGAAAGGATGCTCAAGGAAATACAGGTATGTTTTTCTTATTTGGTTTTTGTTCAAAGGAGCAGCTTTTTCTTCATCTTGATAACTTGCTTCACCAATATTTTCTTTTTGATGCTTCTATCTGACTTTATCTTCATTGGTTTACTCCTCTTCTCATAATTTTTTCTTCCTTTGCTTGAGATGAGAATAATAGCCCCATTCTCTCCTTGTGAGTAGAGTGTCAAGATGCTGGGGAAAGGAAATTATAGCCATTCTCTTTTTGGCATACGTTATTTCTCATTTCAAAATCTGAATGATCTCTTGTTAAATTTAGAGATTTGCTTGGTGACTTTCTACTTATTTATTCTATCAGCAGATAGTTATCAGGTATCTGCTAGTGTCCAACGCTGTGCCAGGTGCTGTTGAGGAACCAAAAGAAATGTAAAATACAGTTGTTACACATAACAGGTTTGTATGTATAGGAACAGACATACAAAAAGTTAGCTAACAATATGAGTCAATATATGGAAAAATCAAGTTAAGTGCTGCAGATATTAAATAGTATGAAAATTTGGAAAAAGGAGGAAATGCCATGGGCTAGAGTTGTCAGGAAATGATCGTAGTAGAATTTGAAGGGAGAGATCCTCAACGTTGCCTAATCCTGTCCCCCATCATTTTACAGATGAATAAACTCTTTTCCATTAATTGTTTTTGTTATCCTGAACTTGAATACACAAATGCACATGAACATTTCCATCTGCAAAGAAGACCAGAAAAAGAGTATTGCATATGAAATCATGAACCTCATGTACAGCTTTTTTTTAAGCACATACTAAATTCAGCATATTCCAAATGCTCTCTTTCTTGTTTGGATTTCAGAATGTTTCATTAATGCTCTTTCTTTTCTTTTTTTTTTTCATCTCAACCACTATTCCTCTCTTCCCTCAACTTCTCCCCTCTTCCCACAAAAAGCCTTGCTAACAAATAAACATAAGTCAAGCAAAATAAATTCACACACAGTGCCAGCATTTCCCATGTCACACAGTAAATGGTGACGTTCTTCAGAGAGACCTTGAGAGTGTCCTTATACCACTTCTTTTGACCACCTTGTGAGCACTTACCTTTTGTGAGTTCTCCATAAAATAGTCTTTCGGGTAAGTGTGTGTTTGGCATTGGAAGCACGTGGCCAGCCTATCACAGTTTCCCTCTCTGCAACAGAGTCTGAATACTTGCCATTCAACTTGAGAGAGGACATCAGTGTCCAGGACCTTATCTTGCCAGGTACTTCAGGATCTTCCTGAGATACTTCAAATGGAAGCAGTTCTGGCATGGCACTGATAGACTGTCCAGGTTTCACAGGCATACAACAATGAAGTCAGTACAATGGCTCTGTAGTCCTTCAGTTTGGTAGGCAGCCTAATACCTCTTCTCTCCCATACTTTCATTCAGAGCCGCCCAAACACTGAGCTAGCTCTGGCAATGTGTGTGTCAACCTCATCATCTAAATATACATCCCTGGAGAGTACACTACCAAGGTAGTGAACTTATCCGTAGCATTCAGAATTTCTCCATGTACTGTGACCAGGGTTCCACATATGTACGGCATGTTTTTTTGGTGTTGTTAGGCCAAAATTAGCACAGGTGGCAGAGAACTGATCCATACTCTGCTGCATCTCAGCCTCAGAGGCTGCACTGAGTGCAGAGTCATCTGCAAACAAGAAGTCATGTACCAACTCCTCATCCACTTTGGTCTTTGCTTGTAGCCTTTTCAGGTTAAATAGTTTGCAATAGGTGCTGTTGGAAGCTGATCTTGATGTCATTTTCATCCTCGTTGAAGGCATCTGACAACATTGTGGAAAATATCATGCTGAAGAACATGAGAGCTAGTACATAGCCTTGCTTCACTTTGTTTGTGACTGGGAATGCATGAGAGCATTGTCCATTATCCAGAAGCCATGCAAGCATGCCCTAATGAGCCTTATGTACGATACTGATGAACTTCTCTGGGGAACCCACTTTCACCATGATCTTCCACAGAACCTCATGAGTAATAGTATCAAAGGCCTTGGTCAGATTGACATTGTTTATAGGCTTCTGTATATAAAAATATAAATACTAGGAGCAGAACACAGCTTATATGTGTAAGAGAACATATGTGGCTAAGGAATAACTCAGCTTCTGGAAGGCAGAATACATTTTTGGTGCAATGTCAAGGAGTTATTACACTTAGCCTAAAGCCTGAGATTGAGCAGTTCAGTAGGGAAGTGTTCTTACTTTCTGAAGGCTTAACATTTTGACATTTTAAATGAATTGTCTATGATTTGATTAATTTACTCAACAACTTTCTCCCTTATATTATACTATCAGGTCCCTTGGAGTAGCATTTATATATTCTATAAATATATTTGAAGTCCTAAAGTGTTCTGTGGACAAATTATTATGGTAGATGATAATTCCTCTCACATTTTACAGATGAGGAACAGGTCCTTAAGGGTTTGATTGTCATTTTAATAGAATACTGTATAACATATGAAGTGCTTCAGATATTCAATAATAAGGAGAATTGAATATTGATTATTAATACCATAATTTATGGGATAATATTATATGTAAACTCATACTTATACATTGCTTTAAGGTTCATAAAGTACTTTCCTGTCTACCTTGAGGTAGCAAAAATATTATTCCCATTTTACAGGTGAAAAAACTCAGACCCATAGAAGTTAAGAGATTAGCCAAAAGTTTTATAGTCAGATAGGTTCTTTGGCTGTAACTCCAGTGCTCTTTCTACTATGCCATGCAGCCTCTATCTATATAAAGTGTTCTTTTCATTAGGTAAGAGATTAGAACTTAGGACTGTTTGGTTTTATTTCTGCTTTATCTGCTCATGTTGTTTTTGCTAAGTCATTTTTCAGTTGTGTCCAACTCTTCATGACCTCATTTGATGTTTTCTTGGCAAAGATACTAGAGCAGTTTGTCATTTTCTTCTCCAGCTCTTTTTACAGATGAAGAAATTGTGGTAAACAGGATTAAGTGACTTGCCCAAGGTCACATAGCTAGTAAGTGTCTGGGGCCAGATTTGAACTCAGGAAGATGAGTCTTCCTGAATCCAGGCTCAGCACTTTATTCACTGTACCACACAGCTGCCCCTTATCTGTTCATAGTATCACAACTTCCTTATTTTTTAAAATAAGCCTCCTTATAATATTTGTCTTGTGTTTTTATCTTTTCTAGTTCCTTCCTGGACCTCACCTTACAAAAAGTTGGAGAAAGCAGCCTTTTCTGTAATTCCTCTTTCTTCCTGTTTGTTCCCTTTCCATTTACTTAATCTTTCCCTACAAATGATGTGGCAAGGCCAAGGGTTTTTGCCACTATACTGGAAAATTGCTGTTTCGAGGCCTTCACTAGTATTCACTTTGTTGTTTATACTTTCACTTCCATATGCTCTGAGTAATCTGGCTCCCTGATACATTTCTCTAATAGAAAATAAGCTCTTTGAGTGAAAGGGACTCTTTCATTTTTATCTTTGCAAATCCCCAAGCCTCTCACAGTACCTGGAACTTAGAAGGTACTTAATAAAAATGTAACTGATTGAATGACTGATTGATCCTAAATGAGTGTGGGTGCTTTATCAGTTTGGAAACAATTTAGATTCTAACACAAGAGGCATGGAGCAGTGGATGTTGGTGCGGTTAATAGCAGGCCTGCCCAAGCTTCTTTCTCAGTGTTGAAACTAGAAGCAGTTATATTTGGTGATGATAATAGCATTTTTCTTATCATTTAAGGTACCTAAAGCCCTTTGCAATATACTCAGCTCTTATTCTTCACAGTATCTTGCAGTAACAGTGGATACAAAGCTGAGATATCTCTTCAATCTAGAAAGTAATGAGAAAGGCCTATCTCCTTTAAGAGAAATGAGAGAATAGTGAACTTCCTTTATATTCAGGAAAATATACTGATATACCTAGATAAGCTCCACATGGATACATGGCCTAAATATAAAAGTTCACATCATAAACAAATTAGAGGAGCAAGGAAGATATTACCTTTCAGATCGAAGAATAGAAGAAGAGTTAATGCCTAAACAAGTAATAGAGAGGATCACCTAAGATAAAAGGGACCATTCAGAATCTAATGTAATAAAAATTAGAAGGAAAACAGGTAATCCAATAAATGTCTTATATCCAAAATCTATAAGGAACTGATTCAAACTTATAAAATTAAGAGCCATTTCCCAATAGAGAGACAGTCGAAGGATATGAACAGGCACTTTTCAGAGGAAGAAATCTTAGGAATTTAGGATTAGGGTTAGGGTTAGGGTTTAGGCTGAGGGTCAGCAATCATATTTAAAATTCTCTAAATCATTAATAATTAGATGCAAATTAAAGCATCTTTGAAGTTCTATCTCATGTCTGTCGAACTGACAAAGATGACAAAAGTGAAACAGGTAAAATAGGGCATTGTTGATGGGGCCATGAATTGATCCATCCATTCTGAAAAACAAATTGGAGAGGGGCAGAGCCAAAATGGCAGAGAAGAGGCAGGGACTTATCTGAGTTTTCCCATATTTCCCTCCAAACAACTTTAAATAACACCTTAAAAAAAATTCTGGAATGGCAGAACCCACAAAAGCATGGAGTGAAACAACTATCTGGCCCAAGACAACTTAGAACGTCAGAAGGAAAGGTCTGCCACACCAGAGTGAGAGTGGAGCACAGTCCAGTGCAGGCTGCACCAGCACAGGCTGTGCCCCAGTAAAGCAGCAGCAGGCAATGGGGGGGGCGACTGAATCAGTGGAAGCAATAGGAGCTTCTGGAGCTCTCAGCCTACAGCTGATAAGGGGGAGGGAGGTGCTTCTAACAACAAGTCAGAAGGAGAATTCAGGGGTCCCTTTGCTGGCACTGGATGCAGGTCTCTGTTTCATTTCCCATACTTGGATCCAGGTCACAATCTTGAATCACAGGCCCAGGGTAAGGATGAACAGTTGCACATCAGAGTTTGTGGCCCCAGGGGAGCAAGGACTCTGGTTGCAGTTCCAGGGTAGAAAAACATGTTTGTGGTTGCTCATAGACCAGAGCAGAAGCCAAAAGAGTAGTAAACACATGGCTCTTTAGATCATACTACCTGGGAGGAACAGAAAACTTACAGGTCTTCAGAATTAGCTGTGAAAATAGCTGCACAAAAAAACCTGAAGTTTGAAAGGGTGTCCCCTGCACTCCAAAAGCAGGGCCCCACTTTAACATAGAGTTAAAAAGTCAAGAAATAGGCTTGAAACATGCACAAACAACAACAAAAAGATCCTGACCAAAGAAAGTTACTGTGGTTACAGGGAAGATGAAAACACAAACTCAGAAGAAGACAAGAAGTCCAAACCGCTAAATCCAAAGCTTCAAAGAAAAATGTGAATTGGTCTCAGGCCCAAAAAGAATTCCTGGAATATCTCAAAAAGGAGGTTCAAAAATCAAATAACAGAGGTAGATGAAAAATTGGGGAAAAATTTAATAGTGATGTAAGAAAATCATGAAAAAAGAATCAACAGCTTAGTAAAGGAAGCACAAAGCAATAATGATGAAAATAACAACTTAAAAAACAGAATAGGCCAAATGGTAAGAGTTACAAAAAAGCCAACAAAGAGAAGAGTGCCTTGAAAAACAGAATTAGCCAAATAGAAAAAGAGGTACAAAAATTCACTGAAGAAAAGAACCCCTTAAAAAGTAGAATTGACCAAAAGTAAAAGAGGTACAAAAGCTCAAGGAAGAAAATAACTCCTTAAAAATTAGAATTGGGCAAGTAAAAGCTAATGAGTCCATGAGATATCAAGAAACAATCAAACAAAATCAAAAGAATGAAAAAATAGAAGAAAATGTGAAATATCTCATTGCAAAAACAACTGATCTGGAAAATAGATCAAGGAGAGATAATTTAAAAATTAATCAACTGCCTAAAAGCCGTGATAAAAAAAAAAGTCTAGATATTGTCTTTTAAGAAATTATCAAGGAAAACTGCCCTGATGTGCTAGAACCAGAGGGTAAGATAGAAATTGAAAGAATCCACCCATCACCTCCTGAAAGAGATTGCAAAATGAATATTCCCATGAATACTGTAGCCAAATTCCAGAGCTCTCAGGTCAAGGAGAAAATATTGCAAGTAGCAAGAATTGTGGAGCCTTAGACAGGATAACACAAGATTTAGAAGCTCCTATCTTAAAGTGTTAGAAGGTTTGGAATATGATATTGTGGAGGGCAAAAGAGTTAGGATTAAAACCAAGAATCACCTACCCAGCAAAACTGCATATAATCCTACAGGGGAGGAAATGGACATTTAGTGAAATAGAGGAATTTCAAATATTCCTGATGAAAAGACAAGAGCTGAATAGAAAATCTGACTTTCAAATACAAGACTCAAGAGAAACATAAAAAGGTAAATAGGAAAGAGAAATCTTAAGTGATTCGATAAGGTTACACTGTTTACATTTCCTACATGGGAAGACGCTACTTTTAACTCCTAGGAGCTTTCTATTGTTAGAGCAGTTAAAAGGAGTATACAAAAACAGAAGGCATGGGTGTGAGTTGAATATGATGGGGTGATTATCTAAAAAAAAAAAAAAATTAAAGGATGAGAAAGAGAAATGCCGCAGATGAAGAAAAAAGGGAGAGGTAGAATGGAGTAAATTATCTCACATCAAAGAGGCACAAAAGAGCTTTTGCAGTGGAGGAAAGTATAAGGAAAGTGGAGGGGAGTGCATGAACCTTACCCTCATTGGAATTTGCTCAAAGATGGAATAACATACACACTTGGGTATAGAAATCTTACCCTGTAGGAAAGTAGAAGAGGAAAGGGA